CCGCTTTCAGGTTGTTTCCTGTATTTGCTTATTTTTTAAACACTGGTTTCAACTTTAACTGAAAACATCTAATTCGTTATAAGTTGTTCATTTTCGTTAGCCACTATACAATTAATGGCTGTCCTCATACTCCACGATTTCATTGTTGGTAAAACTGAGTGGTAAAGAAAATTACACTCATTAGGAAGTGAGAATCGATTTAGTCTGATATGAAAAGATTCTGATGAAAAAATCTCCATGACTTAAACAGCTTTTCCAACATTGATTAATAAGCATTCATCGATTGGCTGGAGGTGTTAAATCCTCTAGTCACTCGGATACGCACCTGATCTTTTTAGGCTTTATCCTCATCCTCTATCCTCAGTTCCTACTTCTCGGGTTCTCCTTCCTAATCTACTTATCTCAGAAATCGTGGAGCATGGAGGGCCAACATGAATAACATGCAACACAAGTGCATAACACTACAGCAATATTTTCATGAAACAATGTACTCAAACACAATACAACGCACTTTAAATTCGAAACATTCATTCAGTCGATCGCGGAATAGTTATGGTATTCATGTGGTTAGGATTAGGAATATGTGGTCTTCAGGAATGGCTGAGCTCCGTTCTCGTTTGATCGAAATGGTGCAGTTGGAGCCTTGTGTGTGGGATACCACGCACACTAGTTACTCAAGAAATGATAGAAAAGAAATGGCTTGGAAGCGAATCACGAATGATATGCGTGGACTTGGCTTTGAATGTAGTGCTACGTCGCTGCTTTTCTCCTCAAATGTCTGCTAAAGGGATTATCCTTGAGATACATTGTCATTGGAGTTTAGCTGGCGAATTGCGCAGAATCTGGAAGAATTTGAAGGATGTCTATAGAAAGAAAAAATGCGCCATCAGGAGCAGCTGATGAGCCCCGATGGGTTCACATGGAGGCTATGTCGTTCCTTGACGTACCGAACACGGGTGCGTTTACTAGAAGATTTCACCAAAACGTCGTGCTCATCGCATTTTAGGCCGACCATTTCAAACGGGATAAGAGCGGACGCTACAAGGCTAGTCTCGATCCGGATTCTGATTTTCCAGAGGAAGGGGGTCTTCTGCAGAGAGCCAGAGGAGCCAAAGTTAAGCGTCTTTAGGTAGTTTTAGAAGCCAGCCAAGTGCAAAAAGAAGAAGAAAAGATCACGATGGTAGGTTATTTCATGTCTAACGACATTTTTCATTTTATATTTCGACCATCCCCATTACATATGCGTTGGGGATGCTACAGTCAGCGACTGAAGATGTTCATTGTCTGGGATGGGAGAAAGAGAGAAAAATAAAGCAGACAGATTTCGATATTTTGGTATGCATTCCTACTACTCTGACTACTGTACTGGTCGATATTTCGATGCTTTAGAACTTTGGGTAGGAGAGCAGTTACGGGAAACGTGTGATACCCCTGAAACTGCCAACTACAAAATGCGCCAAATAGTGGAGGTGGTTCTGCCCTAATTACGTTCTCTTGTCGGCTGAGCCTCCCGCTGCACCTCAGGAGAACGTCGAGAAGGAAGCGGCGCCTCTGGAGTGATCAGGTTAGTAAAAGTGTAGTCTTCTAAAACGAGTGAGATCCCGTTCAGGCCGGTGTCACACTGCGAATCAAGCAAATCGCTAGCGATTCGCTCGATTTGCAAAGTCCGGCAATGGCCTAGTGGTCAAATTCGAACGTTTCGAAGGGAATAGGGGTGCGGAACTTCTAGTTCGTGCGCGCTGGCATGCGGCGAATAGCGGATTCTAGGGACTAGAATGCACTGGTGTCGGTGAGGAGATATCAGCGCAAAGAGGTGAGAGAGAACCATTAGGGAAATGCCAACACCATCGTAACAGCGAATAAGAAACGCCTAGATTAGGAGATAACAGAGATCTACTGAGATACTATTTTCAGCTTCAACTAGATATGCTACCGATCGCGAGCTCATAGGAGCTGAGAGAAACGCCAGGGACACAAAATCTAACCACAATACCCCCTCACTGCTTAGTTCCAAACACAGTGAACGGCTTACTGATATGAATGTCTCAATCCCCCTCCCCCTCCCAACTACATGGGCTCTCCGATCGCTATACTAGCACTATGTTAGTTCCTTCTCATCTTTTTTCCTGCTGAGTGTACTGACCATTGTCGCAGTTCTCGTTTCTGAAAGCGTTAAAATGTAATTCGAATCGCAGAACTTTGAGGATTTATTCATTCGCGATGCGAGATGTTCTCGTGTTGAATTCTTCTAGAAATACCGCAAAGACTTGCCCCGTTCGGAGCGCCGCGCAACTCGACTCGCCATTTGCCGCGTGCCAGCCCGGACAGCCAAAAGTTTGTCGCCCAAGAAATGCAAGGACGCATTTAAACAATGCTAAATCCCTTTCAAATAGGACCTTCGTACACGTGATCATAGTGAGCCGTTATCCGGTCTCTCGCTTGTTCCGCTGCCGGTCGGGCTCGTCTTGCGTCGGCCTCTACATCTACTTCAATTTCGGCGACTTCTTCTTGAGGCTCTTGGACATAAGCCTGAGCCGGCTCCTCAGCGTCCTCTCTCCTTTTCAACCAGTTGTGAAGCACCTGTAATAGTGATTTCGAGGGTTAACCGTCAAAGAAATAGCTACTTTCAAGAATGTTTCCTCACCAACAGCGACGTTACCAATTCCATTGCACGGCTAGGCCTCAACTCCATTTGCCGTCCAATTATGTGAAATCGTGCTTTCAATAAACCGAACGCTATTTCGACTACTCCGCGGGCTCTGTTAAACGACATTTAACTATAACACGAGTGACGACAGGAATTCCTCTCAACTCACGCGCTGTGCTTCCTGTTAAATCTGCGTTTGCTCGCAGTATTCGCCTGTTCTCTCGCCTAACGAAGCGAGGTCCCTGTGCAAAGCCGCAGTCCACTAATATGTGGTACTGCACCGGTCCCACATTTCCAAGCTGCCGTGTTGGGGGGAAGATGTGGTGGTTGCTTTGGAAAAACTGCTGAAATTATTGATGATGAACTACAAATTCGTGTAAGCATAACGACCTACCTTGATCCCTGAACGCCTGAATACCCTTGCATCTCCCGCGGCACCCGGCTCTCCCACGTCGAATAATAGGAAGCGGTCGTCGCAGTCCGCAACAGCTAGCAGTATGATGGAGCACCTTTTTTTGTAGCTAAAGTAGGTGCTGCCAGAGTGCGCAGGCTTCTGCAAACAAAGAAAACATTATAGAGAAACACAAGATGTGTTTGTTCCTACTTTTAGGTATATATGCTTTCCATCCATAAACCCAACTGCGCGTGGGTAATCATATCACTCGTTCGTTTTGTGGGCATGTCCAACAAACAACATCAACATGTCTTTTGTAATTTCCGGGAACGCCACAGAGTATAGCACTAGAATAAAGCGACCATAACAACGGCAGAATGGTAATGCCTTACAATTCATTAAAATTTTAAGGTGGAATCTCTATTATAACTGGACTTATATAGCGAAACTCGCAATATTGACGCCATACTAATACAAGGCGTGAGCCGACGCTCCATCGGTGGAATCTCCGACAATCTCCAGGCCTCTGAAGAAGACGAAGCGGTCGAAACGTAAGGCCAGTAAATAAAGATTCCATCTTAAAAACCTCGTTGGCACACAGTGTAAAATTATTTACAGCCTAATATACATTAGTTGCTTTCTTAGTCGGGAAACCCACCTGACGTTATAGTACGCGCCACTTCGAAAACAATGCCACTTATTGTCGGTCTCCCACAGTGGAGGTCCTCTGCCAAAGCGCAGAACTCGGAGCCGTGCCCAACGAATCTTAAGTCAGAAACGTCGTAGCACTGTCGAGGAGAGCTTTTTAGAAATATTGCTTACCTTAGAAAAGTGAAAAGCCGCTGTTCGCCAGATATTGGAGAGGCATGTGTTATAGGGTGTCTCAGCTCATCAGCGAGAACTTCATATACGTCTCTAAACTCTCTGGGCGTCAATCCCGTGTAATATTTGAAGTTGGAAGGATTGGCTACGGCTAAGTACTCATCGAAAAGTTCTCATGCGGCTGAACAGAAACGGCACGTGTTCCCTTCGAACGTATGCCCTCCTGCACCTATGCACCTCCTGGTACCTTCGCAGTGCGCTCTCCAAATTCATCAACGCGATCAACAAGTTCCGCAGTTGCTTCAGCCATATCTTAAAAAGCAGATTTTGTGTGTAACTTTTTTGTTCAACAATTTTTTGGTTTTCAGATCGATCCAGAATCCAGAACGATTGTGGAAAGCTACCTTAACGTCGTCTCAAGCATATCATCATCACTAACGAGTTGGAGTACCTCATGTTATGATCGCTATTTAATCGATCTCTGCTGTTACCTCACACTTATTCTGGTTTTGACTCATGAAGCCACTTATGATTAGTTACAGTTAAAATGAAGTTGATCAAATTCGAATTTACTGCGAAATGTAATGAATTTTGTATAAAAAATTGTAATGACATGTAGAGTTTGAGTTGCCGACATGTCAAAGTCCGAACCGGATGTTGTATTCCTGACCATGAAAAGTATCATCCCTTCAGCACAAATGACAGGAACTCGATAAAACTTCAGGCAAAGAAATTCCTTGATAAAGATCCTGTATCCATCGCGCTGTATCCTTTTTCGCGCGTGATTGCTAGTTAGTCACCGAGGCCCTTCCCCTCCTTTGCCCTCCCCCCCCATCCTTCTGGGCCTAGGCAGAAATATTGAACTCATTGTTTCCTTTACTACCAAGGTGTCTTAAACTTTGACCATAGCGACCTTGTTTGTGAAAGTTGGCACCTGTCCTGAAGCTTAGAAAGTTCTGCTAGTGACTCGTCAAGAAAATCACCCATTCCAACTTGAAGCAGTCACTAAGCTTGTTGGAACTTACCGATGGCATTGAATTTCCTGTGGAACTTCGAACGAAACCTAGGTAAATCGATAGAGCATTGAATGCTGCTTACAAACAGGGAAGGCACAATTGCAAAATGAAATTGCCAAGCAAGTTGTGACGTGTCATAATTGTCTGCATATGAGTATCAAGGGGTGACGATATCTAGTAGCTGAAAATATGTTGCTGGCGTGGAGTGTGTTAAGGCTCTTGCTCACTGCACATGTTATGGGTTCAAATCCCGTCGGGGATCACCCTTTTGCATATAATGTTGCATCTAGTTTTTCATATGCTCGAATGAGGGGCCTTGCCTGAACGT